GTAGTTCCAGCTACTCTGAAGGCTGAGGCGGAAGGATCGCCAGAGCCCAGCAGGTCAAGGCTATGGTGGCTGGGAGCGGCCACTGCACTCCAGTCTGGGCGACAGAGTGAGACTCCAACTCAAAAAAAAAAAGAGCATCCTTGCTCCTTCTTCTACCCTCACTGTCTCCCTAAACCCTGAGTGGGGCTACTCATGGAATTCTTTGATGCTTCTCTGGCAGGACTGACCATCCTGAACTGGCTTGGGTCAGGGATTCTGAGTTCCATTCACAGCTGCCATAGCCTGTCCTTCCCAGTGAAGAGTGGCAGGGTCGTCCTGATTCTGCTGTTTTCTTTTGTTTTTTTTGGGGGGTTGGAGAAAAAAAAGGGAGTCCGAGTCACTCTGAGGAACTGGGTGGCAGGAGCCCCTGGGCAACCTCTCCCTGATTTGATGCTGGACAAGGTAGTCCTGGCTGGTTGTCATTCTGTGTTGGTCTCCTCTGTCTTCAGATTCCAGGAAGAGAGGATTATCCTGGCCAGACTGGCCCCTCCTCCCCTCTGCCAGGGGAGGGCTGGGTATCTGTCTGGCTAGTTCTACCCAGCCATGCTCACTGGGGGACCCAGGTCCCCTAAGCAGCCAGGGAGGTGCTTGGCAGAAGGGAGCCCTGGCTGCCCACTACTCCCTCCCTGGTGAAGGGTGGGCCTGGCCAGAAGGAGGGGGCACTCCCACTAGCCTCCCCAGGAGGGTGATGTGCCGTGTCCCCGGTTCTAGATGCTGACAAGAGGATCAAGGTGGCGAAGCCGGTGGTGGAGATGGACGGTGATGAGATGACCCGTATTATCTGGCAGTTCATCAAGGAGAAGGTAGTGTCCCCTACCCAAGTGGGTGGCTCTCCAGGGGGGCTGGCTAGGCACAGTGTTCAGTCCCATGAGAACTTCCGGGCCCCACCATGGGTCCCCAGCGGCCCCGTTTCTCCCCTTCTCTCCACTTCCTTTCATATTTGGACCATTAATGGTTCATAAGTCACTAGACAGGGGCCTGCCCTGAGCAGTCTGTGTCATGCTGGGGCCAAAGCCTGCAGGTTCTACAAGGATAATCCTGGGTCGCTTCTGCCTTGGCCCCCCATGTTCCACTGTCCTGAAGGCATGAAAGGGGAGCAGGGCTGGAGTACAGGGCGACTGTGGTGAGCTGCCATGGCGCAAGGGTCCCAGGGTGGCTGCCTGCCTTCTCCAAAGTTGCCCTGGTCTGCACATGTCCAGGAGAATATCTTGTCCACACTAAGGCCCCTGCATGTGTATTTGTCTACATGAGAGAGAGGTGGAAAACCGCCGCTTCTGACTAAAGGTTTCAAAGCACTTGGAGAAGAGGGATCCCATTGTCCAGAGAAATCTGGGTATACTTGGGTTGAGGTCTGGCCGTCGATGGGCCATGGTGGGGGCAGATGGTCCTGCTAGCCTAAGAGCCCCCTAAGGGCTGTGGCCTGGTTTGCCAGCCTCTCTCCAGAGCCTCAGCCCCTGCCAGCTCTGGCCAGACCCCACTGAAGGATGGTGGACCCGAGTCCTCTGCTCTGGTCCCTCCGCTGGTCTTCACTCACCCCTGCCCTGACTGCGTGTCCCCTGCCATGGCCCACAGACTTCTCCTGGCCCTCAAGTGTTCTGCTCCCGAGTCACAGCTGTCTGGGCTGATGTCTTGCTCTGGCCTCCGTCCCCAGCTCATTCTGCCCCACGTGGATGTCCAGCTAAAGTATTTTGACCTTGGCCTTCCCAACCGTGACCAGACTGACGACCAGGTCACCATTGACTCTGCGTTGGCCACCCAGAAGTACAGCGTGGCTGTCAAGTGTGCCACCATCACCCCCGATGAGGCCCGCGTGGAAGGTATGAGGGCGTGGAAGTGGCTGGGCTGGGGAGGGCCATGGACTCCATCCACCAGCCTCTCCAGACTTGGGTTGGGGTGGTTGGCCGTATCCCTCGTCTTGGGACTGGGAGGTTGGAGGCCTCTGAAGCTGGGGCCTTCCTGAGGCCAGCTTCACTTGGGGCAGGGGGTGTGGTGATAGTGACTGGAGAAGGCTGCAGACAAGGCTGGAGGAGGCGTGGCTAAGGGGCCCGCCCAGGGTTCCACGGGTAGGGTGTGGCAGAGTCAGGACCAGAACCCATGTCTCCTAGCTCTCCAGCCAGTGGTGTTTCTGCTGTGCTGTGTGGCTCTGACCAGTGGTAGTGACAGGAATGAAGATAATGCTGATGCTGTCATAGCAATGATGGCTTCGTTGGGCAACTGGTCTCTCTGGCCCCTGGACCGTTTTGCAGGCAGGTCTGCAGAGAGACTGTGTGCAGAGGCATGCTGTGTGTCAGGCCCGTGTCCTCCAGAGCCTCAGAGGCCTCTGGGGAGCATCCCCAGGCCCCTCCTGCTCTGCCTTGGCATTGCACCCCTGCCCCAGTGGCCACACAGGGGTCTCCTGAGAGAGCTCCCCGCACCCGACCTGGACTGGCTGCTGTCCCTTGGTTCCGGGGGCCACTCTTGAGGGTTCCATGAAGTGGCACAGGTGTGTGAATAAAAAGGCCAGGTGTGGAGAATTCAAGAAAGGAGGGTTGCTGGGCATGGTGGCTCACATCTGTTTCCAGCTCTTTGGGAGGTGAAGGTGAGAGGATTACCTGAGTCCAAGGGTTTGAGACCAGCGTGGGCAACTTGGCAAAACCTCGTCTCTACAATAAATCAAAAATTAGCCAGGCATGGTGGCGCTCGTCTGTGGTTCCAGCTACTTGGAAGGTTGAGGTGGAAGGATCACCTGAGCCCAGCAGGTCAAGGCTGCAGTGGCTATGAGTGTGCCACTGCTCTCCAGCTGGGTGACAGAGTGAGAGTCTGACTCAAAAAAAAAAAGGAGGGTTGAGGAGTTCCTGAGTTCTGTCCCTGCTTCCTGCAGTAGGAGGGATCTAGAAGGAAGCGTTTGGGATACACCTGCAAATTTGTCAGGCCTCCTGTCCTGCCAGGGAACGCCTGGCCATAAGGTGTCAGAATCATTTTAGTGTTGAGCTCTTTCCACGTGTTTTTACAAATTTCACCTTGGCTGGTCATGATGGCTCATGTCAGTAATCCTGGTGCTTTGGGAGGCAGAGGCGAGAGAATTGTCTGAGTTCAGAGGTTTGAGACCAGCCTTGGGAACTTGGCAAGACCTCGTCTGTACACTAAATAAATAAAAAAAATTTAGCTGGGTGTAGTGGTGCACACCTGTAGTTCCAGCTACTTGGAAGGCTGAGGTGGAAGGATCACCTGAGCCCAGCAAGTCAGGGCTGCAGTGGCCGTGAGTGTGTTACTGCATTCCAGCCTGGGTGACAGAGTGAGATTCCGACTCAAAAAAAATTTCCACCTGAACCTTGGGATTTATGTGTTCTCATTTTATGGACAAGGAAGTAGACAGTCACAGTCTTGGTAACTTGGGCAGTACTGGGGCTGGAACCAAGCATCTGGACTGAGGCAGTGTGCTATCAGAATTTATCAGACAAGCCCTTTTCCTCAGACTGAGCTACCTCCACATATGCTGTGGGAATAATAATGGCTGAGCGAGCACTTACTTCAGGCCAAGCCCTGTTCTAGGCCCTTTACACATGAGCTCATTTTATTTTTATTTTATTTTATTTTAAGAGACAAGGTCTTGCTATATTCCCCAGGCTGGTCTCAAACTCCTGGCCTCAAGTGATCCTCATGCTTTGGCCTCCCAAAGTGCTGGGATTACAGGTGGGAGCCACCATGCCCAGTGTCACATGAGTTCCCTTAATCTTCACAATAACCCAGTAGACTAGGTATTTTATCAGTAACCTCACTATACAGCTCAGGCTAACTTGTGTAATCTTCACAGTTAGAACGGATAGATTCCAGAGCCCACACATTTACACTCTCGACCCTGCTGCCTAATGATTTTAGACCCTCTGGCTGTGTTGTTGGTTGGGGTTCAAGTTCTGGTTGGAAGGTGGTGGCTGCTGTGAACTCACTTCATCTGTGTCCTTACAGAGTTCAAGCTGAAGAAGATGTGGAAAAGTCCTAATGGAACCATCCGGAACATCCTTGGGGGGACTGTCTTCCGGGAGCCCATCATTTGCAAAAACATCCCACGCCTCGTCCCTGGCTGGACTAAGCCTATCACCATTGGCAGGCATGCCCACGGTGACCAGGTAGGCCAGGGCGGGAGACGGGGTACAGCGACCTGGGCCTCCGACTGGAGGCCCTGTGCTGAACGCTCCTCTCGTGTCTGCAGTACAAGGCCACAGACTTCGTGGTGGACCGGGCCGGCACGTTCAAGATGGTCTTCACCCCGAAAGACGGCAGCGGTGCCAAGGAGTGGGAGGTGTACAACTTCCCTGCGGGCGGCGTGGGCATGGGCATGTACAACACGGATGAGGTGAGGCCCTGGCTCTGGGCTCCTAAGTTCCTTCCGCCCCCAGCGGGTCTCTGCATCTCCGTATCGTGGCTTTCCTTTCTTCATGTTGGCCTCATCCTCAGGCCAAAAAGGGGCAGAACTGGCCACCAGTAGCACCAGGCTCATCGCCTGCCTCCTTGGCAACTCATCAGAAGAGAGCGCCTTTGGCTCCTAGTTCCAGTCAAAGTGCCAGGCTTGAGTCACATGGCCATCTATGAGCCAATCACTGAAGCCCTGGCGGGGAGGAAGGGCTCTGATTGGACAAGCCAGGGATACACTATCAATTCGCCCTACCTCCGCCCTTTAGTCAAAGAACCCGGGAGGGAAGTTGCTTTTCGAAGCAGAGTTGGGAGGCTGCTCACCCCCAGAAGTTGCAGGGAGACGCGGGCCCCGCAGAAATAACATACTCACTGCATAGAGGCTGGTGTTAAGCAGGGTGGGAGGCGGGGTGCCGTTCCTGGGGGTCTCCGCCTGGCGTTGGGAGGCTGGGGAGATAGTCCGCAGGCTAGGACGCCACGCCAGGGTCCTCTCTCTCCCTCTGCAGTCCATCTCGGGTTTTGCACACAGCTGCTTCCAGTATGCCATCCAGAAGAAGTGGCCACTGTACATGAGCACCAAGAACACCATTCTGAAAGCCTACGACGGCCGTTTCAAGGATATCTTCCAGGAGATCTTTGACAAGTACTAGCCCCTTCCTTTGCTGTGTCTCACAGACTCCACAGCCTTGCTTCCCGCCCCTCCCCCGCGCTGTCCCCATCCTACCAGGGCTCAGCACGGAGGCTCAGGGAGGGGTTCCCAACCTTTCAGCCTCCTGCCGTCGCCCCACCACAGGCCCTTTTACTCCCAGGCACTATAAGACTGACTTCGACAAGAATAAGATCTGGTACGAGCACCGGCTCATTGACGACATGGTGGCTCAGGTCCTCAAGTCTTCCGGCGGCTTTGTGTGGGCCTGCAAGAACTATGATGGAGACGTGCAGTCGGATATCCTGGCCCAGGGTACGCCGGAAGGACCAGCGCCCTGTGGGACTCTTGGTCTTCTTCTCTGGGTGGGGGATTTTCAGACCCTTTTGATAGAAAACTTCTCTATTGTAACAGCAGGACTCATGGCAGGGTACTCTGAGGCCAGCAGGGGGCAGAAGCTCCCTGGTGTCCGAGTGAGGAAGGCCCACAAGCTGGCTTTGGACTGGTGTATTACTGAGGCTGCCCTTAGAAAGGAGGGCCCAGGAATCTGAGTCCTAAAGGGTTAGGGTATCAGTCTGGGGTGTTTCAGTCTGTGATGGGAACTCTGTTGGTTCCAGTAGGAAAATGTGACCAAGCAGGTCAGGATACTGTTTAGATGACAGGGAATGCTTTTTTGTTGTTTTATTTTGAGTTGGAGTCTCACTCTGTCGCCCAGACTGGAGTGCAGTGGCCGCTCCCGGCCACCGCAGCCTCAACCTGCTGGGCTCCGGCGATCCTTCCGCCTCAGCCTTCCAAGTAGCTGGAACTACAGGCGCATGCTACCACGCCTGGCCAATTTTTTATTTATTGTAGAGATGAGATCTCACCAAGTTGCCCAGGTGGGTCTTGAACCCGCGGGCTCAGGCAATCCTCTCACCTCAGCCTCCCAAAGCGCTGGGATTACAGGCTGAGCCACCAAGCCCAGCTCGGAATTCTTTTTTTTTTTGAGTTGGAGCCTTTCTCTGTTGCCCAGGCTGGAGTGCAGTGGCACACTCACAGCAACCGCAGCCTCTACCTGCTGGGCTCAGGCGATCCTTCTGCCTCAGCCTCCCAAGTAGCTGGAGCTATAGTCCTGCACAAACACGCCCGGCTAATTTTTTGATTTATTGTAGAGATGGGGTCTTGCCAGGTTGCCCAGGCTGGTCTTGAACCTGTGAGCTCAGGCAGTCCTCTCACCATAGCCTCCCAAAGTGCGGGATTATAGGCGCGAGCCACCGTGCCCAGCTGTTTTTTTTTTTTTTTTTTTTTGAGTCAGAGTCTCACTGTGTCTCCCAGGCTGGAGTGCAGTGGCACGCTCATGGCCACCACAGCCTCAAACTACTGGGCTCAGGCGATCCTTCTGCCTCAGCCTTCCAAGTAGCTGGAACTACAGGAGCTCGCCACCATATCTAGCTAATTTTTTTGATTGATTGTGGAGATGAGGTCTTGCTAAGTCATCCAGGCTGATCTAAAACTCTTGGATTTAGGCAGTCCTCTCACCTTGGCTTTCCAAAGTGCTGGGATTATAGGCGTGAGCCACTGTGCCCGGCAGAAAATGCTTTAAAAAAAAATTTTTTTTTTTTGAGTGAGAATCTCACTCTGTCGCCCAGGCTGGAGTGCAGTGGCACACTCATAGCCACCCCAGCGTCGACCTGCTGGACTCAGGCTATTCTTTCACTTCAGCCTTCCAAGTAGCTGGACTACAGGTGCACGCTACCACACCCGGCTAATTTTTTATTTATTGTAGAGACAAGGTCTCGTCAAGTTGCCTGGGCTGGTCTTAAATCTGTGGGCTCAGGCAGTCCACTCACCTCAGCCTCTCAAAGTGCTGGGATTACAGGTTGAGCCACCAAGCCTGGCCATAAAAATTTTTTTATATAATAGAGACAGGATCTTGCTATATTTCTCAGGCTGGTCTCCAAGCTCCTGGGCTCAAGCAATCCTCCCGCCTTAGCCTTCCAAAGTGCTAAGCCACCACGCCTGGCCCTGTCAGCCAATCCTTTTTGCATAGTAAACATAATGGATGTGGGAGAATATCAGGGAAGATGGCAAGCCCCAACCCTAGAGTGTCATGAAGGGCAAGCTGAATTGCAGCAGAAAGCTTGGGTGCAACCGGTAGAGGCCAGTGAGAACTAGGCCAATTGTGTTGGGAACAAGAGCAGGAAAGGTGGTGGGTGAGGGAAATACGCAGGCACAGGCAGTGAAGAGAAACCAGAAGGTTGTTGGGGTAGGGGAGGGAGGGCTCCTGGGAAAGAGGAAAGGGATACCCCGGCACAGGTGTTGAAAAGGCAGAGGGTCTTGTTACCTTGTGTCTACCTCGGACTTTACCTTGAAAAGGTCATTGGGGATCCTCTTGCCAGAACAATCCCCATCTAGGCTGGAAGGATGAAAAGCCCTAACAGAGGAGAGCGAGGCATGGCAGCTAGCCTTCAGTGTATGAGGAATGGGTGAGTGCCAGTGTACAGGTAGGCACAGAGAAGGGCCAGGCTTGGTGGCTCATACCTGCAATCCCAGCACTTTGGGAGGCCAAGGCGGGAGGTTTGCTTGAGCCCAAGGAGTTCAAGACCTGCTTAGGTAACATTAGCAAGATATCGTTCCTACAAAAAATTTAAAAATTAGCCAGGCTTGGTGGCATGCGTCTTGTAGTCCCAGCTACTCAGGAGACTGAGGTGGAAGGATCTCCTGAGCTCAGGAGGTTGAGGCTGTGGTGAGCTCTGATTGTGTTATTGCCTTCCAGCTTGGGTAACAGAGTGAGACCCTAACTAAAAACAGACAGACAAACAGAAAAATGCAGCAGGGACCCCACAGCCACAATTCTTAGCCAAGCTGTTTTCCCATAGGTGCTGCCCACTTTTTCTTTCTCGGCCTCCAGAATTCTTATTTTGGTGTCATGGTGGGAGTTTTTTTTTTTTTTGAGTTAGAGTTTCACTCTGGAATGCAGTGGCACACTCATGGCCACTCCAGCATCAACCTGCTGGGCTCTGGCGATCCTTCCGCCTCAGCCTTCCAAGTAGCTGGAACTACAGGCACATGCTACCATGACTGGCTGATTTTTGACTTATTGTAGAGAAGAGATCGCACGAAGTTGCCTGGGTTGGTCTTGAACCCGTGGATTCAGGCAATACACTCACCTCGGTCTCCCAAAGTGCTGAGATTACAGGCTGAACCACAGAACCTGGCCTGTGGGAACTTTTGAAGCCCCAGAGTCCTTGAAAACAGAAAAGATCACCTTGACATCTGGATTTGGGAACATTTGGAAATTAATCACAAAGCTTAAGATGTGGCCAGGCTCCGTGGCTCATCCTGTAATCCCAGCACTTTGGGAGGCTGAGGTGAGTGGATTGTCTGAGCCCGTGGGCTCAAGACCCACCTGGGCAACTTGGTGAGACCTCATCTCTACAATAAATCAAAAATTAGCCAGGTGTGGTAGCGTGCGCCTGTAGTTCTGGCTACTTGGAAGGCTGAGGCGGAAGGATCGCCGGAGCCCAGCAAGGCAAGGCTGCAGTGGCCAGGAGCGTGACACTGCACTCCAGTCTGGGCGACAGAGTGAGACTTCAACTCAAAAATACAAAAAAAAAGAAACTTGAGGTGTCCTAGACAAGCCAAAGTGATTGCTGGAAAATGACTGGCAGCAACTTTATTTCTCTGCTTAAATGAGTCTCCTGGTCACGAATCAACCTAGCTGGGCAGGCGCTGAGAGCCATAGGACTTTGTGGAGTCTGGGTCCTGGGGGCTACAGGCTCTGGGGCGCCTGGAGGTAGGGACACAGATGGATGTAAATGTGCTGATGACAGTCATGGTGGCTCAGGCCTGTAATCCCAGCACTTTGGGAGGCAGAGGCGAGGACTGCCTGAGCCCAGGGGTTTGAGACCAGCCTGGGCAACTTGGCGAGGTCTCATCTCTACAATAAAATCAAGAAGAATCAGCCAGGCGTGGTGGCACATACCTTTAGTTCCAGCTACTTGGAAGGCTGAGGCGGAAGGGTCGCCTGAGTCTAGCAGGTCGAGGCTGCGGCGGCTGTGACTGTGTACCTGCACTTCAGCCTGGACGGCTGAATGAGACTCAGACTCAAAAAAAAAAAAAAATGATGATAGCCACTCTCGGGTGCCCCTCTGCCCTGTGCTGGGCTCTGGATACCCACGGCAGGGTGGAGAAACCCCAGACAGTTCCTGTCCTTCCAGATATAGCTGGGGGAGGGTGAGAGGAGCCAGGGGCTGAGGCGCTATGACCGCAGAGGAAGAAGGTAGGGGAGCCTCAGCCTGGTGGCCCAAGGAGAGTTGCCGGCCCTGAGAGAAAGCCCTTCTGCTTGTCAGGTTTTGGCTCCCTTGGCCTGATGACGTCTGTGCTAGTCTGTCCTGATGGGAAGACCATCGAGGCTGAGGCTGCTCATGGGACCGTCACCCGCCACTATCGGGAGCACCAGAAGGTGAGTTGGGGACATGTGGCCACATGGTGCCCCTCTACTCCAGGGGCCTAAAGCCCACCGGCCTGAGGGCTGGGAAGACGAGGCTGGCCTGTCAGTCTGGGGGTGGGCAGCTGTATTCAGGCGGCCTCCTCACTAGCCAGTTTGGCTTCGGACTCTCCTGCAACCCCTGTCCCCAGGGCCGGCCCACCAGCACCAACCCCATCGCCAGCATCTTTGCCTGGACGCGTGGCCTGGAGCACCGGGGAAAGCTAGATGGGAACCAGGACCTTATCAGGTGAGCGCAGAGGGAGAGGCCTGAGTGGGCCTGCCCTGCCCGCTGGGCCCTGGCCGCGCACAGATGGGATCTCACTCTACCCCACCCTCTGCAGGTTTGCCCAGACCCTGGAGAAGGTATGTGTGGAGACAGTGGAGAGCGGAGCCATGACCAAAGACCTGGCAGGCTGCATCCACGGCCTCAGCAAGTGCGTGGCTTCCTGGGGGCCAGGTGGGAGGAAGCTAGGGGACCCTCTCTCTCATGATTCAGCCTAGCTGCCAAGTGCCCGGGGCAGGACAGGTCCACAGCCTGAGGGATGGCTCAGGCCGAGTCTCCCCAGGCCAGGCCCAGTGAGTGGGTCCCTGTCCCAGTCCAGTTGCCTAGACACCTGGAACAGACAGACCTCACCAGGTGCCTGCCGCATTCGCCGTGGTTCTTCTGGCAGTGGGCTGTAGGTAGCCTTTGGCCCGTAGCCTGGGCGTCATAAGGAGGCTGTTCGATGCTCTAGGTTGGGAGCTGCCCTGCAAGGCCTGGCTGAGGGCACTGGGGAGGCCTGAAGCCTGCAGGGTTAGGCGCTGGAGGCCCACAGGTCGCCTCTGATGCGAGTGGTGTTCTCTCTGCAGTGTGAAGTTGAACGAGCACTTCCTGAACACCACAGACTTCCTGGATACCATCAAGAGCAACTTGGACAGAGCTCTGGGCAAGCAGTAGGGGCAGGCGCTGGCCCGCCTACTGCGGTGGACGGGCTGAACCGAGCCGGCCGCGGTGGAGGGTGAGCCTCACAGCCCCCCTCTGGAGGCCTTTCTAGGGGACATTTTTTATAAGTAAGATGTTTTTTAAAGTGTATGTGTTTCCCCTCATGGTGACGTGAGGCAGGAACGGTGTGTTTTACCTCAGCCAGTCAGTATGTTTTGCATACTGTAATTTATACTGCCCTTGGAACACATGGTGCCATATTTAGCTACTAAAAAGCTCTTCACAAAACTGTCTGCTGTGTTTGTCCCTGAGGGGAAGGAGGCAGCTGGGGCCCAGAAGCAGAGGCTGGGGGTAGACCTCGGGAGGCAGCCACCACAGTGGGGAGTGAACCAGGAAGCCCTGAGGAGCTGCTGGGACTCTCGGGATGCAGAGCTGTGGGCTCCCTGGAAGTTCTTGGCATGATCCAGTTCTCCGTTTTGGGATTGTGTTGGTTTCCGATGGATTCTGGGTATTCTTTTTTCTTTGTCGGTTTTCACCTTCTAAACATCTCCAGACCTCTGTATTGGCCCTTTTCTCTGTACTAAAACAGGTCCTACCCAGTGCCTGCCTTGCAGTTGTTCCAAGGCTGCCTGCGTTTCGCGCGGCCTGTGTGTGCGTGTGCGGGTGCCTGTGCCTGTGTGTGTGCGCGTGCCCCCCCACCCGTAGTCTAGGTCAGCGTTTCCTAGACTTAGGTTTGTTTTTACCACAAAACAAAACTAGAAAAGTATTGTAAGAAGTTGCTCTAAAGCCACATATGATACGTTTATTTGTTTAGAGCAGGAGTCTCACTCTGTCGCCCAGGCTGGAGGGCAGTGGCACGCTCACGGCCACCGCAGCCTCGACCCGCTGGGCTCTGGGGATCCTTCCGCCTCAGCCTTCCAAGTAGCTGGAACCACAGGCGCGCATTACCACACCTGGATAATTTTTTGATTTATTGTAGAGATGAGGCCTAACCAAGTTGCCCAGGCTGGTCTCAAACCCTGGGCTCTGGCAATACTCCCACTTCAGCCTCCCAAAGTGCTGGGATTATAGGCATGAGCCACTGCGCCCGGCCTAT